CAGCTCTTTCACATTAGCAAAAGGATGGAAGCAGCCTAAGTGCCCTCCAGTGAAAAACTGGGTAAGCAAACTATCATACATACACACAATGGAATACTACATAACATAAAAGGAATAATGATGAATCTGATCAGCACATGGTTGTTATTGTAGTGAAGTGCTGTCAAGTCAGTTCCAACCCATAGCGACCCTGTATAGGGTTTCTGAAGAGCAGAGTAAGGAAAAAAAACAAACAAAAAACGGTATTTTTCTATAAACTTTTTGAAGTCCTCTCTACAGTCAACTAAATCAAGCGGAATGAAATGCACTCACACACACATACCAGGAGCAAATTGTATGTAACCTGGGAATGCAAGGAATGTCTTTACAGTGGGCATTGAGCTGGTAGCTGGCTGCCCCTTGATCCTATATATATTTTTTTCTTCTAGGCTTCTAGTTATTAAAGAAAGCTAACCCACTCCATAATCCTTTTCGTTATTATTGCCTTAGATCATTCAAGCACCACAGCTATCCCGTGCCCCACTATCTAACCTACCTACATCTCATTCCAGTTAATGATGAGAGGAAGTCTTAGTAATTGTGATGCCATTACTTACCAATGATTCTCACACCCTACTGCTTACCAGCTAAAGTTTTTATTGCTTCCAGACTTGGTGAGTAAGGCAATTCTAGAATCCCATCCTAAGGATGTTATTTTAGGGTCGTCCCTATGATAGCAGATGGAGTCCTGGTGTGGTGTGACAGGTTAATGTGCTGAACTGCCAGGTTGGTTTGAACCACAAGATTGGAGGTTCAAGTTCACCAGCTGCTCCTTGGAAACCCTATACAGGGTTGCTGTGGGTCGGAACCAAATCAACGGCACCTAACAACATGATATCAAACTTTCTAGCTTTGATTCCTCAGAAGTAGAGTGTGAAATGGTGGGATTATGTGCTGTCTTTATGGGGGGTACTTCTGTTGCAGGAGGAAGGAATGGAGATGGAAGAAGGGTGAGCTGTCAAGTGCAATCGATTGCTTGATCTTGTTGAAACGTCAGCTAAGAGGCCATTGTAAACTGCTGGTGCCTGCCTTTCATCAATCAGAAGTTTGTTTTATGTGCCCAGGAAGCAAGGCTGTTTTGGGGCATGCCTGCAGTTGACATGAAATGCTGCTTCTACGTAATGAAAGCATTGGCTGCAAGAGATCCAAGGCTGAAAGAACAGCAGAGTTGTTACTAGGGCTATTCCATGCAAAGGTGCAGACCTGAAAACACAAAACTGAGTTTATTATCCTTGCCATACAGAAAAATGCTGTAATCCCTACCTCACTCCATATCTAAAAATACTTTTGAATAAAAATCTCAATGTAAAAGAGTAACATCGTCAAGGAAAATATAAGTGATTATGTTGTTGTTAGGTGCCGTCGAGTCAGCACTGACTCATAGCAACCCTATACACAGCAGAACGAAACAATGTCCAATCCTGGGCCAACCTCACTACTGTTGCCACACTTGAGTCCATCAATGCTGCCACCTGGTCAGTACATCTCATTGGGGGTCTTCCTCTTTTTCTCTGACCCTCCATCTTACCAAGCATGA